CATGGGTGGCAGTTTCCTCCTCCTCATTGCATAGTCTGTGTTCATAGATATATCTGGGAATATTCCTTTTCAATTATTTTCACCCAATCAAGGGGTTCAAATTCGAACGATGGAAACTTGTTAATTTCCCAGATAACACTCGACGTCCTGGGGACGTCCATTTAAAGTCCCATTAGAGTCCGAACGTCCCGGGACCTAATAAGGACGTCCTTAAAACGTACCACTGAGAACGTTCTTGGTACGTACGAAGCACACGTTTTCAGGACGTCCGTAATGAGTCCTATCAATTTTTATTCATTATACTCTTCTTGATTACGCCATTGAATTTAGGATATTTGATGGCAATTACAAATATGAAATCAAGATAATGTTTTTTCTGATTATACTAATAAAAATAGTCCGAAGTAAATTCAACATTTTATATCAGCTATTTTTTCTTTTCTACTGTCATATGATATTTTTGATACATTTTGTTTCTTCGTTATATACCATCATCAAATATAACACTGATGTTGATTTTTCAGTCCGAAACGTCGGATATGTGAAGTGCAATATATGTAGTTGAATTCAGAATTAGAATTACAGTTTTACAGACATAAAACTATATTGTTCGACTATTTAAAAAATATATTTGATGATGGCTGATCGTACACGAAACGTCAGATCACTATTAGAGCGAAAAAAGTGGATCTCGCGTCTTTCTCACTGCCATGTTGTTTAGTTGAACTATAATCCCATAGATGTGCTACCATCGCCAAATTTTTAAATCTTAGTGTCTCGAATAGCAACGGAAGTGATGATTTTGAAACAAAAATATGTGGTGTCACAGTAGATCGTAGATCGAAAACACAAAAATATAATTATACACCCTCTGAATCCAAATAGAATAATGAATCTATTACGATGCCATCTATTGGTTGACGATGACACTGAAACTGTATGGGGCTAGATTTCTTTCGTCCTGTGTACTCAAACCCATGATTATCGCCATATATTCATCATCATTGATAATCAGATGTGTGCTGTTACCATACTGTTACAAAGTTATGTAAATAATCATACCATAATTATTATTAATACATACAAATGGTGAAATTTCATCTTTAATGTTCTGTGTCCTGCCTGACAGCTGACATTTTTTCGGTTCCGTCCTACACTCCTGTTTGGAATTGGAAGTAGGGCTGTTGGAATTGGAGATTGAAGCGTGTTTTGTGAAGGCGTCTCTTACTCTTATCTTATCAGTTAGCTTATATTGTTTATAATATAATAAGTTCACACTGTGTTATATTACTACACCGTGAATATGTAATAAAATCCGATATCGTCGCGACAAGGGGTGTGTAAATATCTAACCTGCCAAAGTCGTCCAAACTACCCCTGACGGACTATAGGATTATATTTTTTAAGTGGTTGGAAGCTGGTAATGCTGCCACCAGATCAGATTTGACGGGCCTACGTCGCGTTCTGATCAAACGAATGAATATATGGGGAAAGAGTCCCCTCGCCGAACATAGACTCCCCATCTCCAACTGCTTCCAGGCTACTGGTCCAATTGGTGCCACCAGATTTCGTCTCCGGGATGACTGTAGATTCCACCACGGCTTCACAAATGCGTGGATTTATAAAAAATTAAGGGATGGGGTTGACTTTATGAATAAAGATACCAAAATTCACTGAACATAACTCTATTCAGTATATAAAAATATATAACGACCAAAATAAACAATAAAATAGAAGGAATTGAGAAAACGATAGACAAAATTTAACAACTTCAAAATTCTTACAAAACTGACACTGAGAACATCTCAATTGTCTCCCGATTTACGACTATATTTTCCAGTAGAAGGAAAAACTAAGAGGCCCACATTTAATTGTTCCTCCTTGGCAACCTCGTAGACAAAAACAAAATCAGAACATAAAATACGCATTTACTAAATAGCAAAGGGAACCCAATATTCAGCACACTGATGGCATTTAAGCGGTGCCCTATCTCAACGTGTCCACCCTGTAATTTCAATAATAAACCAACCAAAATTCTACCTAACTTTGCTAGGTACTCACCCTTTTAGCCGCAACGCAGAAGTTTCTTCCAGTAATGTCCAAAAATAACGCACAAAACTACAATTTTACGTCACAAATATACTATTATTATTTTCACAGAACGAACTAATCAAATAAAATTATAATCTCGTGGACCGACACTATTAACAGAGCTCACAATTTGACCGATTTTTTGACGTCCCGTTCCGATTCTCGCGAACGACGCCTTGACCAAAGAAAACTCTTTTCTAACGACGCCCCAATTCCAACTCTTCGCGACCGACGTCCCGACAAACTCTTTGCGAACCACGTCCAAAAATCCAAACTCCTCGCAACTGACGTACCGACTCAACCCGTTGATAGAACGACGTCCCCCAATTCCAACTCTTCGCGACCGACGCCCCGACCAAATTCTGAGAACGACTTCCCCAATTAGCACTTCTCACGACCGCCGTACCGACCAAACCCCAAATTCATTTTATTTCTTGATCTCTCCCCGTCCAACTCTTAAATTGCTGATTTCGAGTTTTTCCTCTTCGCGCTCCTACAATGGCTGCCCATTGTTACTTAAATAAAAGTTATAGTACTGATGACGCCATCTAGCTTATCTTGGTCACACCATCGCGAATTCCCTGACAGATACCGTACAAAAACCGTAATTGGGCCGGTATTCTCGTTCTCACCGGCTCTATGGGATCAAATTTAAGTAATCATTAAACCGCGAGATGACGCTAGTAATAAGATTTCATGCTTTAATTCTCGTAAATTTTGTTATGCTCGCCCACTGAGTTACGATCAGCAACCTTTATCTGAATCTCGTTCCCACCGAGCTCATCACCTGTAGACGCTGACTTAATCGATAATTTTCGATAAGGCACTTCTTTATTGAGATTAACAATAACTTGATTCATAATCGAGGTTCATATTGAGTTACTGAATAATATTCCCAAGAAACTAATCTGGAAGATATGAAATTATATAACTTGAATTTATTTAGCCATATTCATGATCCCTTTGCTATCCTTCGAAATAATTCTAAAATGCAATATACTTAAGTACTCAGATAGTCAGTTACCTAAATCTAAGTACATAACACCTACAGGGTGTTACAATACTTCCCCCTTTGAAAAAGTTTTGGCTTAGTAGCCATAACTTTTCCTCGTTTTAAGTGCTCATTGACAATTGAAGCAACACTACTGAAAATTCCGATCGCTTCAAAATGTTTTCAGTACAACCTGTAACTTAATCAACATTCAGTGGAGTTGCTCAACAAGCAAAAGAGAATATTTTCTAATATCTATTACATCATAACAAAGCTTCCCTAATGGATTACAAAAACTGAAATCAATTCATAATCTAACACAATGAGCGGCAATAAGAGGCCATTACATTCACTCCCGATTTGAATTTCACGACACTATGGTTCCGCAACTATTTTCCATTGGCTACCCCTCCGATGATATTGATATTGAAGGGATCTCCCTATGTGTTCTAACTACCCTTGTCGGTCAGCAGGGCACTATTTCAGATATACGCGCGCGTCAATAGTGTATTTACATAAATTTCAGTCTCTAGTATAATCAAAAATATAGTATGTCGCACTGTAAGCTCATTTTGTCATTAATGTCTTTTATAGTATTTCAGTTGCACCGTTAAACCGTCCTATTTTTCAACTTCACGCTCAGACCAGTGCCTTGTCGGATTCTGCAAATCGGGGTAGATGCTTGGTGATTGGACGCTGACATTATGTCGGGGTACAGTAACATTTTCTGTAGTTGATGGTGATTCGTTTTGTGTAGGTCGCTCGGGTTGCTTCCGTTGTATCACCCACCAGGTTAATGTATTCCATAAACTCGCCAACAATGATACTCCGCACCCTATGGTTTGATACAGATGTATACCATTTAGGATGACACCTACGGTGTATTTCACAACTCTGAATATATAGTAGAATCCGATTAATCCACTCATAAAGATTCCGATATCCGAAAACCATCCCCATAGCTGCTTCATTGTAGATTCGGCTAACATTTTCATTTCTCTAACGTTGAACAAGTTGAGCGTTGTGAGTCCTTGTCCTTCTGCTTCGAGTCCGGCTATCCTTCTGGCTATTATATTCTCAACAGCCTTTCGTTCATTACCGAATGTAAAGATTCTTTGAACTTTAGATATTTCATCTTGAGTATACAATCCTTGAGTCCCCAAAGGTTGTATTGGAGCGAACTCCAACTCGTATTCTAGGTCAACTGCTAATTCTCTCGGTGGTCTCTTGATGATTGGGTAAGGTGTCAGCCCTATCCATTCGTTGTCCAAATAGTAAAGTGGAGGAGTTAATCCATTACAGTCGATCTCCTCGGCATAGTCCCGAATGATCCTAGTAATAGGTGATATGAATTTCGACTGGTTATTAAGTTTCACGGGTAATTCATGGTAACAACGATCGGTTCGTCTTATCGTCACTACTTTAGGGACACATCTCATTATGTATAGTACCTCTCCTAATACTCGACCCACATGTCCTCCTTCCTCCTGCAGGATCTGGCTGATTGCGTATGGCATTAAAGGTACCAAGAGTCTATTCCTCAATATCTCACGTCGTACTTGACATCGTCGATGGATTGTGTTAATATACAGTTTATCCAATCCTCTCTTATACGACTGTTCCACATACAGAAACTTACTATTTACATATGCCATCAGATCGGTATTTTCTGTAAGTATATTCATTGAAGGCATAATATCTCTTCCGGTGCTGGTTTCGACCACTATAATTCTAGGATGTTCTGTCTGCCATACATCAATATTGCATAACATCATCCTTTTGGTAAACGTCAAAGCAAAAATTTTCGTTTCACCTTCGACCACCAAATATTTTTCATTCGTCACTCGATTCAATACTGTTTCTGCGTGTCCCTCATATAAAAGGCTCAAGTGACTGTCGCAGGTTGTTGAGAAATCACTGTCCCATACACTTTCTCCCAATATAGTATCGAAACAGTATCCTTTCATGAAGGGACAAGTTACACCTCCCTGTAAGCTAATCTCATTCTCGTTGAGATTGACTTTGGCCTCGTAATCCCTAGCTTGTATTTTCACGCTGGCCATGATGACAACATCTTTCCAGGTTCGTCCATTTTCGTGGTATATTGTTCCGTCACATGATCCAGTAGCATCTACCGATCCCAAGATTGTAAGTGAAGCGGTAGTCGATCCATTCATCGTTATCTGTCCAATATCCTGTTCATAGAGTTTCAGTGCGCGATAGCGATGAAGTAGCCTGCAATCTTCTGCTCCCAGCCTATCCACATAACTTGAAATTCCTCCCTCCACCAAAGACGAGTGACTATGCATCCCACAGTGATACATTATACGGGTTGTTTCCACTAGGCAAGTCCATACATGTTGATGTCGAATCTCGTTACGTTGTACCACTTTTACAATCGCGGACGTACTCAAATACGCGGATTCCGGTTCCGGACACTTCTTTACGTTTCTGAGAGAAATTATCGAAATGTTCACATTCGGCTCACTGCAATCATATGCGATTGTCCCGTTCACCGAGGCGAAATAGTGCATGACCAACAAGGTAGCGATCACCGGGATATTCATTGTTGTGCTGCCCCTCTCCATGACGTCTAGCTGGAACGGATGCTCGTCTCCGCTGGCACCTACACAATACCTCACTTCAGTAATATAAAAATATCTTTCGAATATACACATCATATATATCTCGAATTGGGTCTTTTCATAAATTACTTAACGGTAACCTAAGCAACTACGATACCTGTCTGGGCCAGAAGTAATTGATATGGATCATAGTTTCATGATCTCATTAAACCTACTTGAAGAGTGCCCTTCAAGTTTCGGCACTCCTCTGACTCATTCAATAAATCCTTACTAATCTTTCACATTCGCTTCCATCCATTCATTCATATCTTTCACCTAATTATCCTTTCCAACCATTTCTAAAATTTACTTAGCCACTAATCATCAAACAGTTTTTACACTCATATCCTTTCACTCTGATTATGTTATAAGTCCAACCGATGTGGTGGTCTTCGAATACGACTTGATCTCCTTAAAGGCTGAGGTTCCTCTATTTCTTCCTCAGAATCACTTTCTATTTCCACACCATTATCTCCCTCATCAGTGTTTCGGTGTAAGTCTATCCAAAGTGGGGGAATAAGAACTCTCTTATTCTTCTGCACAGAGGTACTCTGATCCTTCAACCCAATCTCTTCAGTATTTTCTATGTTTTCTCCGCTGCTGCTACTCCAGTTTTCTTCAATCTCTGGTTCAAATGTCGAATACGATTTCAATCTATTCACATGCACTACCTGTTCATCCTTTCCTCCTATCAATTTCACTCTATAGGTAACTGGTCCTATAATTTCTATTACTTTATAGGGACCAACCCAGGGTTTCACGAGTTTCTTCGATATACCTGGTTTTACATGCATACTTAAGAGGTATACCCGATCTCCTAGGTTATATGTTCTATCCTTTGTTTTTTTATTGAACTGCTTTGCTCGTACCTCTTTGGCTTTCTCTGATATCTTCAGTGTACGGGAATACACCTCTTTGAGTCTTTCCGCTAATTCCGAAGCGTAGTTTTCTGCACAATCGTATCTGATTCGTTGAGGTCGAATGAAATCCTCTACCGGCAAGACTTGCTCACGTCCATGCAATAAGAAGAAAGGAGTATACCCTGTCGAGATATGAACATTTCCACGATAAGCCATTAACACTACTGGAATCCATGTATCCCAGTCTCGCTGATTATCCGCTATATAGTGGGACAGCATGTCCTTGAGAAACCGATGCATTCTTTCTATTTGCCCATTCGAAGTAGGGGCATAACTTGACGTCTGTATCTTCTGGATGCCCAATATTCCACATACTTCTTTGAATAACCCAGACATAAAATTTGCTCCTCTATCCGTTAAGAGCATTCGAGGTGCTCCATGTCGGCACACAATATATTCGACAAAGGCTCGCGCAATTATCTCTGCTTTTTGATCTGGCAAGGGGATGGCTTCTACATACTTTGTGAAATAATCTCGAAATGTCAGCAGGTAGCGGTTTCCATTCCAAGAAGTTACCAAAGGACCAACGATATCCATGGAAGTCAATTCCCATGGTTCATAGGCTGTTGTAAATTTTTGAAGAGGTGCCTTTTTCTGATGTGGTGAAGTTTTTCGTTTATTACAAGACTCACAAGCTGCTACGTATCTTCCAATTTCCGTATTCATGTTGGGCCAGTAAAATCTCTTCTTAATACTCCACAAGGTTTTCTGTTGCCCCTGGTGTCCTGCCATTGGTGAGTCATGAAAGTCTTTGAGTACCTTTTTCACCATTCCTCTTGGTACCACTAGTTTTTCGTCTTCGTCAGCATCGATTTTGTAGAGTATTCCGTCCTTATCAACGTGATAATCTTCATTTTTCCCATCTCCTACTTCTAGTTAAGCCATTATTCCTTGACAGAATGTATCACGACGTTGTGCCTTTTCCAACATTTCTCGATCCCAGTGTGGTTCCATCACTATACTTTCCTCCACTAACCAAATAGGTTTCTCAATTATACATTTTCCATTGTATACCCTTATCTCAATATCTGACCCATAAAAAATAAATTCTATCATTTCTGCCACTTTTTCCCAATTAAGTCCATCCAATCCACATCCAAACTTTGGTATTGCTAGAAACTTGTCTTGATTTGTCTCGCAACAGACTCTGAGTTCTTTCAGAGTCTCCCATAGGGTATTATAGGTTGGTTTGTCGTAATATGCACTCTTAGTGACTAAGTAGTAGATATTCCTTTCCGGGAGCAATAACATTGCTACCTCTCCTATGCCTTTTCCTTGTTGCAACAGAGAATCTACAGAGCCATATCTCTCCTTGAATGTCTTGTATAGTACCTCTCCTAATACTCGACCCACATGTCCTCCTTCCTCCTGCAGGATCTGGCTGATTGCGTATGGCATTAAAGGTACCAAGAGTCTATTCCTCAATATCTCACGTCGTACTTGACATCGTCGATGGATTGTGTTAATATAGTAGTAGTAGATATTCCTTTCCGGGAGCAATAACATTGCTACCTCTCCTATGCCTTTTCCTTGTTGCAACAGAGAATCTACAGAGCCATATCTCTCCTTGAATGTCTTGGCAATTCCAGCTCCCATTGCCAAGTCCTTAGAAACACAGTGAGCTAACGCCCAGTTTGCAGGTGAGGTGAATAAGTCTCCTTTCTGATAGGTTAATTTGTGCATCCTCGGTATTTTATGTTGTTTTTTATACTCCTCAAATTCCTCATATCCCAAATTCACGAAATTTTCCTCCTTATTATACATTCTGCTGAGGGCATCAGCATTTCCATGGAGTTTTCCCTGTCGGTGTATAATCTCAAAATCATACTCTGCTAAGGCTAGAGCCCATCTAGTCAATCTGGAACTTGGATCTTTCAAGGTTAACAACCATTTCAAAGGCCGGTGATCAGTGATGACCGTAAATTTCTTTCCATACACAAAACAACGAAACGTTTGTATCCCATACATAACTCCAAGTAACTCTTTTTCTGTTGTTGTGTAATTCAGTTCCGCCTTTTTGAGCTTTCGGTTAGCGTAGGCTATAGGTCTCTCATATCCATCACGCAGTTGGCTCAGTACTGCTCCTACTCCTAGTCCCGAGGCATCTGTCGCCAAAATGAAGGTTTGTTCAAAATCTGGGAAAATCAATACCGAGTCTGATTTCAGGGCATTTTTCAATTTCTGGATGGCTTCAAGCACATCTTCTTTTATTTCGAATTTAACGTCCTTTTTCGTTAAGTTGACCAAAGGAGCTGATATTTCCGTGATATTAGGGATGAATCGTCGGTACTAATTAACTATTCCCAAGAAGGATCTAACTCCTTTAATATTCCTAGGCAGCGGAAAATTAGTGATGGTTTCTATCGTTTCGGGATCCGGTAGAATTCCTTCCTGTGAAATTATATGCCCCAAATATTTTACTTTCTTCAACATAAAATTACACTTTTTTGGCTTCAATTTCACATTTGCCTCGCTTAATCTTTCGAACACTTTCTCTAATTTATCAATGTGGTCTTTTCCACCTTCTGAATTGAAAATGATGATATCATCTAAATAAACCATACATAATTCTGGAGTAAGCCCTGTCAAGGTCATATTCATGAATCGCTGAAATGTCGAGGGTGCGTTCACGAGTCCGAAAGGCATTTTGGTATACTCATAATGACCTTGGAAAGTGCTGAATCCTGTCAAAGGTATTGACTGTTCATATATGTCGATTTGATGATATGCTTCGGCTTGTATCCTTGGATCAGATCTGAAATATTAGGTAGCGGATAGTACTCCTTCTTCGTTATTTTATTGAGTCCTCTGTAGTCGATACACATCCTGACTTTTTCTTCTCCATTTGGAAGTCGTTTGGTAACCAATACTACAGGCGCCGACCACGGACTACATGATGGCCTTATAACTTTGGTCTCTAGTAAACGTTCTATTTCTTTCTCCAGCAACTCTCTCTGACGATGAGGTATTCTGTATGGGGCTTTACAAATGGGCTGTGCATCTGGTATTAAAGTCAGACTGTGTTTCACTTTGGTCGTACTAGTTAATTCTTCATCGTCGTCCCTGAAAAGATGTCCATACTTCCTTAATAACTTCCTTGATTCCTTCTTTCAAATGCTGCAGTTCGAATCCACTTTTGATCCACTCATTGTTCGAAAAATCAAATTTACCAATTTTCGAACCAGAGGGGTCCATGGGAGATATTTCTTCACCTAACATAGCTTTGCCAATTCTCTGACCCTTCTTCAGCTTGACTTCTTTCCACGATAAATTCATCATCTTCACTGGAATCTTCTGTTCATTCCTCACCACTGTGCGAGCTACGTGTGCTTGAGGATTTCCTATATCGCAGGGCTCGCAAACTAGTACATCTCCCATTAAGACCATCTTCAAACTTCCTCGCACGTTAGCTTCTGTTCTTGCAGGAATCACCAGATCATCCATAGTAATCAGATCAGCTTTGGTTATTGGTTCGTCTACTGTTGCCGGAAAATCTTCTAGAATGGTCAGGAGCTTGGTGTTTTCTTCGTTAGAGGAAACCATCTCAGTGTCTTCCAGTTCCGGATGAGGTACATTCACATTTACATTATTTTTCTGCAACTTGATTTCCTCAGTAATTTCGCTCCGTGACTCCTGTGTGCGAATCAACTCAGCATTGTCAGCCTCATCAAAAAACTCCAATGTTTTCGTAAGACTTTTTTCTTCTCCCAGCGTCTCGACAACCTTGATCCTTTGATATTCTTCTTCGATGAGGTGTACGTCCAGCTGTTCTCCAATAAATTTCTGGTTCTCCTCCAAATTTTGATGCTGGGCATCCATATCTCCCTCATGTCCTTCTGTGAACTGATTTTCATCACTATTTACGGTTGAATTTTCCATTTGCGGGCTATGAACTTCATCTGTCGTGGATTTTTCACAGTCCGTAGAGTTCTGACTCAGTCTTCTGAAACTGCCAAAATATGTCCTCACTCTTTGAAGCCAGCCTGTCCAATTATCCTCGTACTTGCATTGCAAAGAATATGGAACGCTCCTTACTCTTTGCCTATTGAAGATGCGTGTAGGATACACATTTGGCTTTCTAGATTGGGTTATATGCCAAACGGACGAATGCTTCAAAATTTCCTAATAAGAATACATTCGTATTGATTTTCCCCATATCTTCAGCGTTGGTGGATCTTCGAATGAGATTAGAGCCCTATTTTCTGCCAAAAAATTCCTACCTAATAATACCTCCACTCGTCCCAAAATTGGGTCCTCACATACAACCAATTGTGTTTTATTTTCTCTCAGATCCTCACCCTCAAAGCCCATTGACACCAATGCTGTGCCATAGGTTTCCAGTTTATGTCCTGTCACTCCTGTCAAGAAAATGTCATCATTGCCCTCAAAATTGATTTGTTCTTCCGAGAATATACATCTTCGAGCCAAGCTGATGACAGCACCAGTATCCACTACACATCTACAAACTATGTCATTAACTCTTAATACTACTATATATGGTATATTGTCTGAATCAGAAAAAACCTCCGGAATTGTCCTGAGTAGCATGTTCCTTTGATTTTCCGATTCTGCATCTGCTATCCTTACAGATTGTCCATTATTTATATTCCCCTTTCGACCTCTCCGCGAATCGCCACCTATCCGGGGTTTAATAGGAGGCCACTTCAGTTTAAAGACTGTTGGGGGGGATTCGCCCTATCACTTCCTCCAGTTGCAACTCCTCTCCTTTGATGACTCGGTTCCTCCCTTGGGTATCTTTCTACGGTGGTAGCCCCCCCAGCTCCTCTGGTACGTTCTGTTGGACGCCATGCGATATTTCCTCTCTCCTCCCCCCGAGCTTGTGAATCATTTCGAACCCTCTCTTGGTCCCAATGGCGAACCGGCCCCCTACTTAGAATTCCTGAATCCCTATTGACGTTGCTTGGACCCCTACTTAAGTTGCTTGGACCCCTACTGAAGTTGCCTGGAACACCCCTATTTATTGGTGCCCTGCACTCGCAAGCCCAATGCCCAGAACCCTGACATCGAAAGCATTTGTTGTCCCCGGTAGTCTGCCTTACTATAGTCCAGCAGTCTCTTGCCTTGTGACCTCGTTTACCACAAGAAAAACATTCATCTGTAGCCTGCACCTGTTCGATACGTGCGCTGATGGGTCCTTTACCTTGCATCATGAAAACGGTAGTCTCCTGCAGCTTGACTAACTCCTCGGCTTTTTCCAAATCCAAATCATCCTCCTTCAGTAGTAAAACCCCAGTTTCTTTCAATAACTCCCTCCTCAGTCCCATTTTAAATTGATTCAACAACAAATTCTTATTTTTCTTCCTTAGGCCAGCTGCTTCCTCTGGAATAGACCCCTGAAGCACCTTTGCTCCAAGGAGACGAAGTCGCGTACAAAAAGAAGACACATCCTCGTCATGCCTCTGATAGCACCTACTCAAATTCAACTGGTTTTCACCCGGTAACCTGATAGGAGCAAATTTTTTCATCAATTTATCCTTAAAATCATCATAATTCAATGTATCAAGTAGATGATCCGATTTAAAGTAATCATACGCATCACCCAGTAATTTAAATTTAAAAAGTTTCAATGTTTCTTCCTGTGTCCAGCCGTCTAGCCTAGATCGCTGCTCCAATCTCTCAATATACCTCGCTGCGTCCTTTCCTGAAAAATCATCTAGGGTTGTCGCAATCATCCCTAATGAATAAACTGCCGACATTCTCACAGGAGCAGGCATTTGGCCAATCCCTCCTGTACCGCCTGTAGGGTTAATTATAGGGGCTGGACTATTCCCAGCACCTGGAGCTGCTTGTGCTCCTGGATCGGGCATGGTGAAAAAAAATAATAATAATAGCAACAAAGCACAAACCTGTTATCGACGTAGAGGGTTCCCTTTTCCTACCCTGAAATTCCCTAGCGTGATTAAACTAGCGTACACCCTGAGAAATCGAACACCCTAAACCTCAAATCAAAATGACCTTCAAATATTACTCAATGTATTAACTAGATCACCCTGTATATTTCCAGGTGAAGAACCCCCTTTTTTCATCTAATTCAACCCCCTAACCTTCCTAGATAAAAAATGCATCCCGTTCTTAGTTAATATAAGTTGAAATCGAGAAAACCTACGCCGAAATTAATTAAAGAAAACAAAATTTTCCAACCCCTATTTTTTTCACCCCTATTTTTTTTCAACCCCCTTCAACCCCCTTGAGAAAAAAGACATCCCACCGCTGCCACCACTGTAATAAAATCCGATATCGTCGCGACAAGGGGTGTGTAAACATCTAACCTGCCAAAGTCGTCCAAACTACCCCAGACGGACTATAGGATTATATTTTTTAAGTGGTTGGAAGCTGGTAATGCTGCCACCAGATCAGATTTGACGTGCCTACGTCGCGTTCTGATCAAACGAATGAATATATGGGGAAAGAATCCCCTCGCCGAACATAGACTCCCCAACTCCAACTGCTTCCAGGCTACTGGTCCAATTGGTGCCACCAGATTTCGTCTGATGACTGTAGATTCCACCACGGCTTCACAAATGCGTGGATTTATAAAAAATTAAGGGATGGGGTTGACTTTATGAATAAAGATACCAAAATTCACTGAACATAACTCTATTCAGTATATAAAAATATATAACGACCAAAATAAACAATAAAATAGAAGGAATTGAGAAAACGATAGACAAAATTTAACAACTTCAAAATTCTTACAAAATTGACACTGAGAACATCTCAATTGTCTCCCGATTTACGAATATATTTTTCAGTAGAAGGAAAAACTAAGAGGCCCACATTTAATTGTTCCTCCTAGGCAACCTCGTAGACAAAAACAAAATCAAAACATAAAATACGCATTTACTAAATAGCAAAGGGAACCCAATATTCAGCACACTGATGGCATTTAAGCGGTGCCCTATCTCAACGTGCCCACCCTGTAATTTCAATAATAAACCAACCAAAATTATACCTAACTTTGCTAGGTACTCACCCTTTTACCCGCAACGCAGAAGTTTCTTCCAGTAATGTCCAAAAATAACGCACAAAACTCAGTACAATTTTACGTCACAAATAAACTATTATTATTTTCACAAAACGAACTAATCAAATAAAATTATAATCTCGTGGACCGACACTATTAACAGAGCTCACAAAATGACCGATTTTTCGACGTCCCGTTCCGATTCTCGCGAACGACGCCTTGACCAAAGAAAACTCTTTTCTAACGACGCCCCAATTCCAACTCTTCGCGACCGACGTCCCGACAAACTCTTTGCGAACCACGTCCAAAAATCCAAACTCCTCGCAACCGACGTACCGACTCAACCCGTTGATAGAACGACGTCCCCCAATTCCAACTCTTCGCGACCGACGCCCCGACCAAATTCTGAGAACGACGTCCCCAATTAGCACTTCTCGCGACCGCCGTACCGACCAAACCCCAAATTCATTTTATTTCTTGATCTCTCCCCGTCCAACTCTTAAATTACTGATTTCGAGTTTTTCCTTTTCGCGCTCCTACAATGGCTGCCCATTGTTACTTAAATCAAAGTTATAGTACTGATGACGCCATCTAGCTTATCTTGGTCACACTATCGCGAATTCCCTGACAGATACCGTACAAAAACCGTAATTGGGCCGGTATTCTCGTTCTCACCGGCTCTATGGGATCAAATTTAAGTAATCATTAAACCGCGAGATGTCGCTAGTAATCAGATTTCATGCTTTAATTCTCGTAAATTTTGTTATGCTCGCCCACTGAGTTACGATCAGCAACCTTTATTTGAATCTCGTTCCCACCGAGCTTATCACCTGTAGACGCTGACTTAATCGATAATTTTCGATAAGGCACTTCTTTATTGAGATTAACAATAACTTGATTCATAATCGAGGTTCATATTGAGTTACTGAATAATATTCCCAAGAAACTAATCTGGAAGATATTGTTGTTGTTGTTGTTGTTCTATCCGTCATTCGGTTGCCCCCTTACGAGCAACCCTCAGAAGTCTTCGAAAGACTTGTGCGAGCAAGGAATGACGGGGGCCTTACCTTTTAACGTGTGATCCCAAACACTTTCTTAGGCCATCAGAAAAAGTCTGCGTTCGTGGGTCTCGAACCCACGATCGATACCTCGACGTGAATCGATATTGAAGCATCGAAGCACTGAGGTACGCCGGCCTATGAAATTATATAACTTGAATTTATTTAGCCATATTCATGATCCCTTTGCTATCCTTCGGAATAATTCTAAAATGCAATATACTTAAGTACTCAGATAGTCAGTTACCTAAATCTAAGTACATAACACCTACAGGGTGTTACGAATAAGTGATCAATTGGTTTTGTTTTAACGTGAAATTGTCAGGGTAAGTAGTAAAATAAAGGTTATATTATAATGGCGGGCAAACAAAATAATCTTCAAAAATACTATATGCGGGCTATGAGGTTGGGAAATGATATGCATCCCTATACTATGACTAATATTAACCACATAGATAAAGCTGAATCTTCGCTTAATATGCAGGATGTACAACATCCTTCATCTAGTCGTTCCAATAGTAATTCATCTTCCACTGATTCTGAAAATGAGGTATTTTCTTGTGTACCCAATTATCCTTTACAAGAAAACATCAACTTGAATCATGCAAATGGAAATCTCAATTATTCTAATCATACTGATCCAAGTACGGATCCCATGATACTTGGCAATGATAATGAAAATAATTCTGCTGTTAGACCAATCAAGTCACAACTAAAAGAGTGGGCATTAAATCACAAAATTTCTCAAGTAGCCATTAATGATTTACTGACAATTTTGAAATCCACAAATCCTCAGTTGCCATGTGATGCTAGAACCCTTTTAGGTACTTGCAGGGAAGTTATCTCTAAACCAGTAGAACCTGGACAATACTGTCACTTTGGATTACAACAATGTATTGAAAAATTACTAATTCAGTCTTCCCATTTGTATGAGCAATCTAATTCCATTGAAATTTCAATTAATATTGATGGGTTGCCTCTTTCGAAAAGCTCCAGCAGCCAGATTTATCCTATTCTATGTAGCTTATCAAAAAACAAAGATAATGTTGATATAGTGGGTGTTTATCATGGATATGAAAAACCGAAGGAAGCTAATACTTTTTTACAAGATTTTGTTGATGATGCAATGAATATTACACACCATGGTATGTCTGTCAATGAAAAACATTATTCAGTTGAAATTAGATCATTTATTTGCGATGCACCTGCTAAGTCATTCATTACTTATACTAAAGGTCATTCTGGTTATGCATCTTGCACTAAATGTCACTCAGAAGGCAGTTATATTGATAATAGAATATGTTCTCCACACACAGACAACTTGAGAGCTAGAACTGATGACGATTATAGATCAAAATTACAAGATTCACATCATACTGGTACATCAATCATTGAAAACATACCTGGTGTTGATATGATTCACTGTTTCCCTTTGGATTATATGCACCTGATTTGTCTTGGTGTGGTTAAAAAATTATTAGTTTCATTATGGTGTTGTGGTAAAC